CACATAGGGCGGCCCTCCTCTGGGTCTCCTCAGCCAGACAGTGTCGGCTGGTGGTCCCCAGGATGAAGGCGTTCTCTGTGGTCGCACCGACCCTCTGGAATGGGCTGCCCACCGAGCTCCGGATGGCCCCCGATCTCTGCACCTTCCGCGCTGACCTAAAGACATGGCTCTTTCAGCAGCTTCCCTGATCTGTTGTAGATCTTACTTTGGGGTTTTGGGGGTTTTATATTTGCTTTTAATGTTATTTAAATAATTGTCGGGTTGTTTTATGGTGAGCTGCCCCGATTCCTATGGGAGAAGGGCGGCATATAAATCTGACAATAAATAAAAATAAATAAATTATTCAACTCCACAAAGAGTTAACAAACGGTTCTCCTGAACCGGTGTGAACCAGTTGAATCCCACCACTGTCTATATGTTGTCCTCCCCATGTTTAATATAAAACAGATGTTGTCCACATTATGCTTAAAATGTATGAATTGAAATCAGTGAGGCAGTTAATGATAGCTAGCATAAACCTGTTCCGGTTCAGACAACTAAAATTCTGTACGTCTCGATTCATCTTACTGAAAGCCATGATATACTGAAGAGAAACACAGATTCATCAAAGTCCACCCTTTACCCTAATTTCTTTACATCTCATTAGTGATACTGATAAAGCATCAAGTTACTTGTTGAAGGGGAACTCTAAAAGAGACAATCTGTGTGATTGTCCTAATTTTGAGATCTTTAGTTATGGCTCCAACCTGTGGGATCTTGAAAAGCTGCAAAATTTCTGCCATGCGTATGGATGTTTCGGGACTCATCCCTCCAATGATTCCCATCACTTTCTTTTCAGTCCCACAAATATAGTTGGGGACAATTTTATGCGACTTAAAAAGCAGGTCCAGAGTGGTGCGATAGGTCATTAGTGCATTGGAGTAGCTGTCATAGATATGGAATCCAAGAGTGATGTTGGGCAAGATGTCAGGATCCTTGTTGATCTCCTTCACGGCAAATGCTAAAGCCAAGACGTGTTGGTAGAACTTGGTTACCACACTGTAAAAAAGTCATTTGTTTCAAAAGAGAACTGTGCTATGCATTACATACTAAGGAAGACATATCCAGTGACAGAAATACTACGAGGAAGACACATTGACAAGAGAGCTATGCTGAAATTCACAGTTTTAGGGTTCTTATCCTATATGAAGTGGTTCGTTTAATTGTATCCTTTAACAGATACTTAAACTGATAACCCAAAAAGGATGTGATGGATAACTGATATACCCAGAAATTAGAAATTATACCCAGAAATTAGACTGTCTACTGTTGAACTCACCCATTCCTAAGAGGTCTGTAAGGGGCATGCATAAGTGCACCAATGTGCCTACTGTTCCCTGTCCTACTGTCCCCATTTATTCGTACCCATATCCTGTATTTATAATCATGTTGATACTTATATCTGTTGTTATACATGTTTGACAAATAAAATAAATAAATAGATAAAAAATAAATGTTAAAGGACATGATAGAATAAAAAAGTAATGCATTCCCTTGGAAAAACTGGAGGAACCACGGAAGACTTTAGAGAAGGAAGACAGGATAATGTTCTCAAAATATCTGTATAGTTTTCACGTGGAAGAGATCTACAGAAGAAATCACATTTTTCCTGCCCTTAAAAAAGAGAACTAAATTCATGTTAAAGTTTCCATGCAAGTTTGGGTCCTCCATTCAGTTCCATAATGCAAAAGGGGGGAAAAAAAGCACTTCCTGTCTGAGCAGGGGTTGGACTAGAAGACCTCCAGAGTACCTTCCCACTCTGTGATTCTGTTAAAACATGCATCTTATAATGAAAACAATTCCTGTACAATCAGCTCAAGCATGTTCAGTGTTGTAAAAACTAAACATTTTGCTCCTTGATATGCAACAAAGTAAGGGATAGTAGGAATCATTAGATACTCCATAAGAAAACTCTGAAGAGAAGGCAGGTTATCGAGTTGAAATAAACAGAATGGGTTCACTATTTTTTAATAAGAATCTGAGCTGAGTGGAATAGGACAGGTGGATCACAAACGTCTAAGCGATACATGAAAAAATAGAGACACGGTAGTAAAAACTAGTGCCACCCCAACATTTTGCAAATGATTTTTCATTCCACAGTCAATGCCTCTATTTAAAATATTATAGTGCCTATTAGGTGATAATGAATTAAGGCCGGTTGTTTTTCCTCCAAGTTGGAAGAGCTTTCAGTTCTCAACAGAATATCCGCTTGTCCTGGTCTATCGGATTTTGGCTTAATTAGAAAAGAGGATGTTGAATTAACAAATAATTTCTATATAACAAGCTGCTGTTAAGGATATGCCCCATGATACATTTATATTCATTAACAGTTGATGATGGAACCTCTCTGTTTTACAAAGATGGGGAAAAAAAGCAAGATTAGATTAAAATAAACTAAGAGAGGGATTTCTTACAATGGGAAGTCAACCGATTCCTCAGAAGGATGTTTCTGAAAAGTAACTTTGGGGAACATGTAGTGAACATGAGACACCAATCCACCAATGAGAAGGTCTCCCTCCTGGTACCATTCCTGTGGAATTTGAATGGCTTCATCTCCAGTGCACTTAAGGGGCTGTATCTTTATGGCCAATTCTTGAAACAGTAAAATGGCAATAATCCCCAACATTCCTGCTGATTTGGCTTGTCCTGTATTGCTGTTGCCAACAGCCTTGAGTCAAACAGGATACTATAGAGAGTGAAAGAAATGCTACCTTTGTTGAGATCTGTTTTAAGAATATGTTGCGCCTCATTCATTGATCTGATCTGTTATCTTCAGCCTCCCTTATGTCTGGATGCTCAAAGTGTAAAGGAGAGAGTTGACTTTCAAGTCTAATACCTAATTATTTGCAATATAAAAGACCCCTGGATATGAGGCTTTAGGAGAATTTTAATGGTCTCGTATAATTACTCCAAGATGATGGTCAGTGTATATTTCACAGGTGTGGAGTAATGTAGCTAGTTTCACATAGAGAAATCTGGGAGAATCTGTCAGCTCTGGAATTGACTAGGCATTGGCTGATCAACATTCTAAAAATATTAGCACAAAGCCCACAAGAAATAGATATTTATGCTATGAACACCAAATAGATACAAGATTCTGAGAACCCAAATTTATAGCAACAGCTCTCATATTGACCCTATCATGGTTGGGGAGCACTTCAATCAATTTTGAGGAATGGTCCTCAGCAGGGAGCAATATATTGGAGAGAAATACATATATCTATTCTGAGATTTGCCCCCGCTAGTTCCTTCAGAAGCATCTTGAGAGCCACTGGAGGATTGACCTGTTGACTTAATCATCATGTCTGTGATATCTGGAGTGATGTTGCTGGAGAAAACATGTTTGTGAGCAGAGACCTCTTTCTGCTTACTCTTGGGGACTGAGGAACTGCGCTTGAGGTCTATTATTTGGCTGAGTGGCCTATTGCTCAGAGTTACATACATGAAATTTGTGGCCATATATGTTCTTGAAATGAATGAATGAATGAATGAATCATCAATCAATCAATCAATCAATCTCCCTCTCATATAAAAACACACAGGGTAAATTTAGGCTCCTAATCTTTTGCCTTTTGTGATATATGCCCCAAATTATATGACTAGTAATAAGGTAAAGTGTAAAGGTTCCCCTTGCACAAATGTGCTGGTTGTTCCCGACTCTAGGGGGCAATGTTCATATCCGTTTCAAAGCCAAAGAGCTAGTGCTGTCCAAAGACGTCTCCGTGGTTATGTGGCCGGCATGACTAAACGCCAAAGGCGCACGGAATGCTGTTACCTTCCAACCAAAGTATTTTTCTACTTGCATTTTGTTACATGCTTTCGAACTGCTAGGTTGGCAGAAGCTGGGACGGGAGCTCACCCCGTTACGCGGCATTAGGGATTCGAACCTCTGAACTGCTGACCTTTCGATCAACAAACTCAACGTCTTAGCCACTGAGCCACCGCGTCCCTTTATTTATTGATTAATTTTATTCTTCATTTATTTATTTATCCCTTCCTACTACTAGTAGAAAGGGATAAATGATATTGTGGTCACTCGGAGATGTGTCTTTAAAACATCTATGGATATTCTCAGTCATCCAGGTCATAATTGTCTCAAAGTTGCTTTTTCAAACGGCAAGGGGACTGTGTCTTTTTTTGTTTGTTTGAGGTAGAAGAAGATGTTTCACTTCTCCTCCAAGAAGCTTCATCAGTTCTGACTGGATGGTGGGGAGAAACAATCCAATTGCCTTTTGAAAAATCACCTTTGAGGTTTCTTTAAAATATTCCAATGTCACCTATAATTTTTTTCTGTGATACCCTATATAAGACCTGGTTTGCTGTTGCTTATGTGTGCTCAGCAAAGTATCAAAAGCTTTGCTGGGGATCCAGAATATACTGTATTATTGCTTGTATGCATGTAAATAAAATAATGTCTCTTCAAAGAGAACAGCTTGCCTTTGGAAGTTGTGGGAGCTTCATCACTTGAGACTTTCAAGAAGAGATTGGACTGCCATTTGTCAGAAATGATGTTGGGTCTCCTGCGTGGGTGGGGGGTTGGACTAGATGACCTACAAGGTCCCTTCCAACTCTTTTAATCTGTTAATCTGTTAATTTTGTTGCTTTACCTGAGCCTATGGGAATTATGTAAAGTTTCATAATGACTGTATTATCAGCTTCACCGGCAAAAGTAAATTTATCAGTGGTTTTAAGTGCATCGGGAAATGAGTCAACAATCTTCAAGGAATCTCAAATTTGTTCTCTGTGTTCCTTCTAATGTGTATTCTGAGAGTAACCCAGTTGTTATGTTACTACAAATGGAAAAGCTTAATTAAATGATATGGAACATCTTGCTGAAAAATTAATATACCCTATTCCTCCAAAACCACATAATCCTCAAATAATTCTGAGATGAAAGACAAATTCAGTCAAATATGTATGTACACAGACATAATCAAACACAGTTCCAAGTAGCATTTGCTTATTCAAATTGGAATCTTGTTCCTTTTTTTATTTTTTATGTGTTAATTGTTCTCTAGTGTTGAGTTCAGGCCTCAGTATAATTATATGGATTTTGGGGATGAAGATGCATCCCAGTAAGCTGGCACTGGAAGACAGGATAGAGAAGATCTCCACAGCCACCATGTACTTCCCTTTGGTGCTCAGGTAGGTGGGGACAAAGGTCAGCCAAACATTGCAGAAAACCAACATGCTGAAGGTGATGAACTTGGCTTCATTAAAACTGTCTGGCAACTTCCTGGCTAGGAAGGCCACAGTGAAGCTGAGAAGAGCCAAGAGGCCCATGTAGCCCAAGACACAGTAAAACATGATGATGGAGCCTTCATGACATTCGACTATCATTTCTCCATAGAGTGTCTCCATGTCTAAATGTGGAAATGGGGGAGATGTACTCAGCCAGATGGCACAAATAGTTACTTGAATGAAGGAACAGAACCAGATAATAGAATAGGCCAACTTTTGCCCCACCCATTTGTGGAATAGGCTTCCTGGCTTTGATGCTAGGAATGCTATGATGACTGTGATGGTTTTGGCCAATATAGAAGAGATCGCAATAGAGAAGATGATGCCAAAATTAGTTTGCCGGAGGAGGCAGGTCGCCCTATTGGGCTTTCCAATGAACAGAAATGAGCAGAGGAAACAGAGAAAGAGGGAGATAAGTAGAAGGTAGGTGAGGTTGCGATTGTTGGCTTTGACAATGGGAGTGTCCCGTTGCTTAATGAAGATTATAAACACCAAAGCTGTAAGTAGGGAAAAAAAAAGAGAGAGAGACACCAGAGTAATGCCCAGTGGCTCTTCAAAGGAGAGGAAATGCAGTGTCTTTGGAATGCACTCATCGTGAGCTTCGTTTGGAAACTGATCCTCTGGACAACTGTCACAATTCTCCATGTCTGAAAAGAAGAAAAAAGTTTCTGAACAGGATTAAAATCAGAAGTTTCAGAATTTCTTTTCTGAATTTTCCTGCAATGTACGTTTTTTCTATATCCTTTTGTAACTCTCTAGTCAACCTAGATGAGCCATGGTGGCGCAGTCGTTAGAGTGCAGTACTGCAGATTACTTCTGCTGATTGCTGGCTGCCTGCAATTTGGCAGTTCAAATCCTACCAGGCTCAAGGTTGCCATCCATCCTTCTGAGGTGGGTAAAATGAGGACCCAAATTGTTGGGGGTAATAGCTGACTCTGTAAACTGCTTAGAGAGGGCTGTAAAGCACTATAAAGTGGTATATAAGTCTAAGTGCTATCACACTTCGCCAATAACATATTCTATTCTATTCTATTCTATTCTATTCTATTCTATTCTATTCTATTCTATTCTATTCTATTCTATTCTATTCTATTCTATTCTATTCTATTCTATTCTATTCTATTCCTAGATTGTAAAAATGAGTACTGTAGGGAAACACTATTTAGATTTTTCTGCATGTCAATGTTCTTGGAGTGCACTAGTTTTTATAGCATTTCTGAGCAAGAGAATAGCATGTCCCACTGTGTAAAACTGTGCCAGCTAATGGGAAAGAGAAAAGAGATGTTTGAGACATTAGATCCTGAAAAACTTGCAGTAGCGCTAGGGGATAGGAGAACAGGAACAGTGCTACTTGATTCCTGTTTCCTTTATATGATGTGTCCCATCATCCCTGGACCCGGCAGTGTTGGGAAGGTTGTTGAGAGTGTGGTAGCGCAACAGCTCCCCCAGTACCTGGATGAATCGTCGTATCTGGATCCGTTCCAGTCGGGCTTCAGGCCTGGGTACAGCACGGAAACGGCATTGGTCGCGTTGGTTGATGATCTCTGGAGGGCTCGGGACAGGGGCTGTTCCTCTGTCCTGGTCCTATTAGACCTCTCAGCGGCTTTTGATACCATCAACCGTGGTATCATGCTGCACCGGCTAGAGGAGTTAGGGGTGGGGGGCACCGTCCTATGGTGGTTCTCCTCCTTTCTCTCTCACCGGTCACAGTCTGTGTTGACAGGGGGGCAGAGGTCGACCCCGAGGCCCCTTGTATGTGGGGTGCCACAAGGGTCGGTCCTCTCGCCCCTTCTGTTCAACATTTATGTGAAGCCGCTGGGTGAGATCATCCGTGGTTTCGGGGTGAAGTACCATCAGTACGCTGATGATACTCAGCTGTACATCTCCACCCCGGACCACCCCAATGATGCCCTTGAAGTGATGTCCCGGTGCCTGGAGGCCGTGCAGATCTGGATGGGGAGAAACAGACTCAGGCTCAACCCATCCAAGACCGAGTGGCTGTGGTTTCCGACATCCCGATATAGTCAGTTGGTGCCATCACTGACTATTGGGGGTGAGTCACTGGCCCCCACGGAGAGGGTTCGCAACTTGGGTGTCCTCCTGGACTCATGGCTGTCTTTAGAAGAGCACATGACGGCCGTGGCCAGGGGGACTTTTTATCAGGTCCGCCTGATTCGCCAGTTGCGTCCCTTTCTGGATCGGGACTCGTTAAATACGGTCACTCATGCTCTCGTTACTTCCCGCTTGGACTACTGCAATGCTCTCTACATGGGGCTCCCCTTGAGGAGCACCTGGAGGCTCCAGCTGGTCCAGAATGCGGCCGCGTGGGTGGTTATGGAAGCGACATGGCGCTCCCATGTGACCCCCCTCCTGCGCGAGCTGCACTGGTTCCCGGTGGTCTTCCGGGTGCACTTCAAGGTTTTGGTTACCACCTTTAGAGCACTCCATGGCATCGGACAGGGGTATCTACGAGACCGCCTTCTGCTACCAATAGCCTCTCACCGACCAGTATGCTCCCATAGAGAGGGGCTCCTCAGGGTGCCGTCGGCCAAACAGTGTTGACTGGTGGCCCCCAGGGGGAGAGCCTTCTCTGTGGGGGCACCTACCATCTGGAACGAGCTCCCCCCAGAGATACGGAAGATCCCGGACCTGCGCACGTTTCGCCGTGCTCTCAAAACTTTTCTATTTCAGCAAGCTGGCCTGGCCTAACTCCCATTTTTTAAATTTTTTAAATTTTTTAATTTGTGATTTTATAAATTGGGTGTTTTAATCTGTGTTTCGGCCGAAATATTTAATAATTTTAAGGGATTTTTTAATATTTGTATTATCTGTATTTTATCTTGGCTGTTCACTGCCCTGAGTCCTTCGGGAGTAGGATGGTATAGAAATTTGATTAATAATAATAATAATAATAATATGAAGGAGGTTCAACTTCAAGGATAGAGAGATGGGTTATAGCAGGGGTTCCCAAATCACTTGGCTGCTGTCTACTATCCGTTTGAAACCGGGCCATGGAAGAGGTGGGTGAGCAAAGGAGGAAAAGGAAGAGACAAAAATTCTTGCAAAAATGGAGTTGCAAGTGCCCAAGCCATTGACATAGAACCGTCCTCTCTATGTCCCTGCCGGTCCATCGAACCGGAAAGGTTGGAGACTGCTGGTGTAGAGGACATCACTATTGTCTCTTCATTTTCCTTCTCTGTGATGCCTCAATACAGTGAGTAATAACGTTGAAGAGATTCTTGTTAACTGGGATACAGGCTGGTTCCATTGGATGCCATGAATCTTACCCATTTGTCTGGATATCATTTTTCCTGGACAGGGAGCACAAGTGTAGCAACAAAACTTCAGCCCTTCGATCTTGTTCTTTCTTTTTCCAAGAGGACATGGCTCATTACATAAGGAGGGAGGAGGGACCTGTCCACAAATAAAGAAAGAAGTCAGTAGCAATGTTTTACTTATGTTTTTGACTTACAAGCAATGAATAAGAACAAGACTGTTGTTATCCATTTCTGCCATGTAACAGACAATTTAACCTCCAAAAGGTTACCAGAATCTGAGCATCTGTCTCTGTCTCTGTCTCTCTGCCTCTCTCTCTCTCTCTCTCTCTCTGGGTCTGTCTCTCTCTCTCTTTCGGTGCCTCTCTGTCTCTCTGTCTCTATCTGTCCCTCTGTCTCTGTCTCTGTCTCTGTCTCTATCTGTCTGTCTGTCTCTCTCCTACCTACCTATCATCTTTCTATCCCATTTCAAGTCACCCACCTCCCTCTCAGAGCCCATATTATTGTTATGGTACCTGAGTGAATCCATGATGCCACTGGATTTTGTCTTGATGAATAAGGAAAGTTCCTCTTTGTGAATCTATCTCTCCAACTGGAATGTTGATATAGGAGTTGTTTGGGAAAGTAACCAAATTTACAATGTCAAATCCATCTTCTAGTGCTCCCCTTTCATTTAATTTAATTTCATCTCCAGCATTGTTGTTGAAGGAAATTCTCTGCAGAAACGAATGGAGCTTGCAGAAGAAAAAGTATAAGGGTTAAAGGTTTTAGATTAGATTAGATTAACAGAGTTGGATGGGATGTTGTATGTCATCTAGTCCAACCCCCCACCAAGCAGAAGACCCTACACTATTTCTGGCAAATGGCAGTCCAATCTCTTCTTGAAAGCCTCCAGTGATGAAGCTCCCACAACTTCCAAAGGCAACTTCTGTTTCATGGGTTGATTGTTCTCACTGTCAGAAAATTTCTCCTTATTTCTAGATTGAATCTCTCCTTGTTCAGTTTCCATCCATTATTCCTTGTCTGGCCTTCAGGTGCCTTGGAAAATAGGTTGTCACCCTCCTCTCAAATCCTGGAACACTGCTATCATTCACCCCAGGTCCTTCTCTTCACTAGATTAGCCATGCCCAGTTCCTGCAACCATTCATCATAAGTTTTAGCTTCCAGCCCCTTGTTGGATGCTTATCCTACGGTTGGGTAGGTAATATATAGAAAACTATGTTCTGTAACTTTAATTGCTACAAGATGACTAATTGGCTGTGCTAAGCAGACATAAAAGAAGGCAGGAAGTTCATTCACTTCTGCTCCTGCTATTAGAAGGTTGAACTGCTGAAAGGAACTGTGTCTGTGTTACTGAAGAGAACTGGAATTGTAAGCAAACTATGTTTTTGTGTTGAACCGTGATTATTTGAAGAAGTGTTATCTTTGTTTCGAGAAGCCAAGTTTGTTTTTTTTTTACTACAAGTAAAGACTCTTTTTTTTCTTACAACGTTCAGAGTCTGTGAGTATCTGTGTGTTTTGCTAAGCAACGTATCTATTCGCTGTCTGGTCCATTGCACCACTTTGTAGAGGGCAGTTTTACCCTCAACATCCCTAATCATCTTGGTTGCTCTTCTCTGCACTCTTTTTAGAGTCTCAACATCTTTTTTATAGTGTGGTGACCAAAACCAGATGCAGTATTCTAGGTGTGGTCTTACTAAGGCTTTATATAGGGGTTTTAGTAATTCACATGATCAGACAGACCTCATTCTGATTTCAGAGACATTCATCTGCTAAACCAGTGTTTGTCAATCTTGGCAATTCTAAGATGTGTGGTCTTCAGCTCCCAGAATTCTCTAGCCAGCCACTCTGATTTCAGAGACATGCTTCTTCTAAACCAGTGTTTTTCAAACGTGGCTGCTTTAAGATGTGTGGACCAATTCCCAGAATTCCCGTGTCAGCATACCCGCTGGGGAACTCTGGGAGTTGACGTCCACACAAATTTTAAACCTGCCAAGGTTGAAAAGCATCGATTTAAGCCATTCTCTTGACACATAGAACATTAATATAGACTAGTATAGGAAGTCTAATTTTCTAAATACTTTTCAAGCAGTAACACTGCTATCATGTCTCCCCTGGTCCTTCTCTTCACTAGACTAGCCATGCCCAGTTCCAGCAATCGTGCTTCATATGTTTTAGTCTCAAATCCCCTAATCATCCTGGTTGCTCTTCTCTGCACTTTTTTGGTTGCTTCTTCTCTGCACTTTAAAGGAAAACAGATTAGCCTCCAAAATGGCTTCAAACAACACCGCTTTTTAAATTTGGAGTGTTTTTTCGTCTGGGAATAAAGAAGTATAAAAGACTGAAAGAGACTAGTTATTATATTGAACCATAGTCCACCTTATGAATTAAAATCTCTTTAGTAGATGTTGTTTTTTTTTAGTGACAATTCAGAGAGGTAGTGGAAAAAGAGAAAGAAGCAGCTTTTGGAAGAAAATTTACAGAGAAGTAGAAAGGCAAAAATATGTTAAAGACTAGTTTTGTTGATGTGGAAGGAGGAGAAAGCTGAGATGTGTAGACAAAAGAAAATACCTTCAGTGGGTCAATATTTGTAATGTATTAATCTTGAAGAAAGATGAACATCAGTGATGCTTAGATAGATGGTCTACAATGTTCTGTTGATTCATTAAGTCTTGGCACTCTGTTGTAACCAAGGAGAACATTTCAAAAGAGCATTGAGAAAGGGGAAATCATACCTGCCAGGCTTCTACAATCTTTGATCGCCCTTGATCCTTTTGTATCTTCTGATAAGTCCTCACTGTTTGAGCAGCCTTTAATGCTTGAGCCACAGCATAGATTGCATTATAAATACTGTAACTATGGCCAAGTATTCTGGTTTCAAAGAAGGGTGCAATAAGGTCCTCAAGTCTTTCTTCTCCAGTACATTCCTCATCTTGAGAAACACCATTATTTGGTGGTGAACAGCAAAAAGCTTGGTTCCAGAAATCTCTAATAAAGCCATCTTGACTTGCCTCAGATGGGGTGATGGCCTGTATAAATTGTTGGAAACCTGGAGGTTCTCTTGTGCTAATTGAGAAGGAAAGTGCTCCATGGAACGTTTGCATATCGACAGCTCTTTGTAAGGAATATAATGTGAAATCATTTTGGGCCATTGTGATCCACATTTTTGGTGTGGAAATTTTCTGTGAAGAATCCAAAGATGTTGGAAGGAAAAATTCGGTGCCTTGTAGAATAGAGGCCAGCCACACAAAGACTGTATTTTCTCCATGTATAATAACTGCATTTGCTGTTTTCTCTGTGAACAAAGTAATATGCCTCAGACAACGTTCAGCCAAGTCTAATCCTTCAGAAGAATGTAAATTTCTGTCAATCCTTTCGGTGAATTCGGAGCAGATTTTATTTTGAGAGAGCATGGGTTCCAGAGTTTGTAGGAAATGTTCTCCATGTTTGTCATCTACAATGACAAGTCCTACCCATTTCCATCCAAAGTACAGGAGGAGCTGGATTAAACCCTTGTACTGGAGAGCTTCATCGGGGGCCATGCGATAAAAAGGCGGGAAACGTGATTCATCAGTCGCTGCCAATTGAAATGAGCCATATGAAATCTAAAAAAAAGAAAGGAGGTATAAGAGAAAGGGAAAATGACAGAGAAAGAGAATGGATGGATATATTCATTTTTTATTGATTTAAACTACTTTATTTTTCAAAATATAGTTGTTTAATAATATAGATTTGGCTTAGAGATCTCCCCAAAAAGGGAGATATCCTTTCTGAATCTTATCTGTCTATTCTCCTCCTCCTCCTCCCCATCCTCCTCCTCTCTTTTTCTTGAAGTTGACTTGAGTATTTGAATTTAAAGAATCAAATCTTTCAGTGCATCCTATGTCAATATTTCTTCTATATGTTGTCCTCCCAATGTTTAATATGAAATCCAAATGTTTGTCCACATTATGCTTAAAAAGTATGAATTGAAATCAGTGAGGCAGTTAATGATAGCTAGCATAAACCTGCAGGTTCGGACAACTAAAATTCTGTATGTCTCGATTCATCTTACTGAAAGTCATGATATACTGAAGAGAAACACGGATTCATCAAAGTCCACCCTTTACCCTCATTTCTTTACATCTCATTAGTGATACTGATAAGGCATCAAGTTGTGTGATTGTCCTAATTTTGAGATCTTTGGTTACGGCTCCAACCTGTGGGATCTTGAAAAGCTGCAAAATTTCTGCCATGCGTATGGAAGTTTCAGGGCTCATCCCTCCAATAATTCCCATCACTTTCTTTTCGGTCCCACAAATATAGTTGGGGACAATTTTATGCAACTTAAAAAGCAGGTCCAGAGTGGTGCGATAGGTCATTAGTGCATTGGAGTAGCTGTCATAGATGTGGAATCCAAGAGTGATGTTGGGCAAGATGTCAGGATCCTTGTTGATCTCCTTCGCAGCAAATGCTAAAGCCAAGACGTGTTGGTAGAACTTGGTTACCACACTGTAAAAAAGTCATTTGTTTCAAAGGAGAACTGTGCTATGCATTACATAGTAAGGAAGAATATCCAGTGACAAAAATACTATGAGAAAGACTTCTTGACAAGAAAACTATGCTGAAGTTCAGAGTTTTATGATTCAAGGTTCATATCCTATATTAACTGGATTATTTAATTGTATCCTTAAATCATGATTTTAAATATTTAATATTTAATTAAATACTAAAATATATTTACTGATGTATTTAACATCAGATACCTGTACAATTTTGGACTCACTGGAGAAGAGCCTAATGCTGGGAACGACTGAGGGCAAAAGAAGAATGGGACGGCAGAGAATGAGGTGGCTGGATGGAGTCACTGAAGCAGTTGGCATGAGCTTAAATGGACTCCAGAGAATGGTAGAGGACAGGAAGGCCTGCAGGAATGTTGTTCATGGGGTCACGATGCGTCGGACATGACTTCGCAACTAACCACAACAACAAGAAGAACAATGTGTACAATTAGCACAGGACCACACAGGCTGTGTGCTCTCTCCACTTCTCTCTATTCACCAATGACTGCATCTCAAAAAATTCCTCTGTTAAAGTACTGAAGTGTGCAGATGATACAACAATGATTGGCCTCATTCGAAGCAATGGTGAACCTTTATACAGATGGGAGGTTGAACAAATTCAACCTTGTGGTGCAATCACAATCAACAATCTTGAACTAAATACACTCAAAACCAAAGAAATGGTGGTAGATTTTAGGAGAAACCCTCCTATACTACCACCTCTTACAATATTAGACAACCCAGTATCAACAGTAGAGTCCTTCAAGTTTCTAGGTTCTATCATATCTCAAGACTTAAAATGGACACCTAACATCAAAAATGTCATTGAAAAAGCACAACAAAGAATGTTCTTTTTGGGCTCAAACTTCCCAAGAAGCAGCTGATTCAGTTCTACAGAGGAATTATAGAGTCTGTCATCTGTACCTCTATAACTGCCTGGTTTGGCTCTGCAACCAAACAAGACAGACACAGACTTCAACGGATAATTAGAACTGTAGAATAAACAATTGCTACCAACCTGCCTTCCATTGAGGACCTGTATACTGCACGAGTCAAAAAGGGGGCTGTGAAAATATCTACAGGCCCCTCACATCCTGGACATAAATTGTTTCAACTTCTACCCTCAGAATGACGCTATAGAGCACTGCACATCAGAACAACTAGACACAAGGGCAGCTTTTTCCCGAATGCCATCACTCTGCTAAAAAAATAATTCCCTCAACACTGTCAACTTATTTACTAAGACTGTATTACGATTATTCTTCTCATCCTTCCTAGTACCTAGTACCTAGTACCTTCCTGTTGTTTTATTTGTTTCCTAGTACAATTTGATTGCTTATTAATAATCTATGACTATGGGTTCAATTTTTTTAAAAATGAGAATCTGAGCTGAGTGGACCAAATTTATCTTACAGCGGGAACTCAGTGGCGAGGAAGTAGTGCTGATGATTATAGCTATATCTTTAGAAATTGATTTTTCCTTCCATGGTGAACTCTTTCTGCTCTTAAAAGGGGATGGTGAAGAGAAGAGGCCCTGTTTCCACCGGTAAAGTTTTGTGTTTCAGCTTTGCATTTTTCTTTCAAAGATTGTGGATCTTTTTGAAATAGGACAGGTGGATCCCAAATCTCTAAGCAAGACATGAAAAAACAGAGACACGATATTAATAAGTAGTGTTACTCCAAGGTTTTGGAAATGATTTTTCATTCCACAGTCAATGCCTCTATTTAAAATATTATAGTGCCTATTAGGTGATGGTGAATTAGGTCCAGTTGTTTTTCCTCCAAGTTGGAAGAGTTTTCAGTTCTCAACAGAATATCTGCTTGTCCTGGTCTATCGGATTTTGGCTTAATTAGAAACGAGGATGTTGAATTAACAAATCATTTCTATATAACAAGCTGCTGTTAAGGATATGTCCATGATACATTTATATTCATTAACAGATGATGATGGAACCTCTCTGTTTTGCAGAGATTGAAAGAAAAGAGCAGAATTAGATTAAAATAAGATAAGAGAGGGATTTCTTACAATGGGAAGTCAACCAATTCCTCAGAAGGATGTTTATCGAAAGTAACATTGGGAGACATGTATTGAACATGAGACACCAATCCACCAATGAGAAGGTCTCCCTCCTGGTACCATTCCTGTGGAATTTGAATGGCTTCATCTCCAGTGCACTTAAGAGGCTGTATCTTCATGGCCAATTCCAGAAACAGTAAAATGGCAATAATCCCCAACATTCCTGCTGATTTGGCTTGTCCAGTATTTCTGTTGCCAGCAGCCTTAATTCAAACAGGATATTATAGAGAGTGAAAGAAATGCTACCTTTGTTGAGATCTGTCTTCAGAATATGTCTTGCCTATTTATTGATCTGATCCATTACCTTAATCCTCCCTTATGTCTGGATGCTCCAAGTCTAATACCTAATTATTAGGCTCCTTTTTCATTTGTAATGTAAAAGACCACTAGATATGAGGCTTTAGCAGAATTCTGATGGTCTTGTATAATTACTCCAAGATGATGAGCATTGTATATTTCACAGGTATGGAGTAATGTAGCTAGTTTCACATAGAGAAATCTGGGAGAATCTGTCAGCTCTGGAATTGACTAGGCATTGGCTGATCAACAGTGTAAAAATATTAGCACAAAGCCCACAAGAAATATATATTTATGCTATGAACAGCAAATAAATACAAAATTCTGAAAACCCAAATTTATGGCAACAGTTCTCATATTGACCCTATCATGGTTGAGGAGCATTTCAACCAGTTTTGAGGAATGATCCTCAGCAGGGAACAATATATTGGAGATATATATCTATTCTGTGATTTGCCCCTGCTGGTTCCTTCAGAAGCACCTTGAGAGCCACTGGAGGATTGACGACTTAATCATCATGTCTGTGATATCTGGAGTGATGTTGCTGGAGCAAACATGTTTGTGAGCAGAAACCTCTTTCTGCTTGCTTTTGGGGATTGAGGAGCTGTGCTTGAGGTCTATAATTTGGCTGAGTGGCCTATTGCTCAGAGTTACATACATGAAATTTATGGCCATATACGTTCTCTAAATCAATCAATCAATCAATCAATCAATCAATCATCAATCAATTATCAATAAATCAATGTCCCCCTCACATACAAACACACAAAGAAGCTAAATTTAGGCTCCTAATTTTTCACATATTGTGGTAGTAAAATGGTTGCATTCACTACCAAATGTATGAGATGCCACCAATTTACTGTATATGAATGGCTGAAAGTGCCTTGTAAGAAAACATTCAGAAAAAGCTGGACTGTCCCAAAATGGTGAGAGGGACAAGACATCATGAGGAACCTGTGACTCAGAAAACCAGATGGTTTCTTTTCACTGACCATAGGCCTGTTGTGGCCCACCAGCGGCCAGTAGAGCTGGCAGCAGAGTCGGACAGTGAGGAGGTTGGGGAGGAATGTGGGCCAGTCCTGGAGTCTGGGGAAGGTTCGGATTGTTAGGTGTTTTGTGCTAGCCATGGCAGTCTCTTCAAAGGCCACCAGATGGGGGCAAAGAGACACCTTGGATCCCACTGGTGGGTTAAGGGGCTCCGGCCCCTGCAGCCCCATTGGGGAAAGTTAATGGCCCTCCGGCCCCCTCACAAACCTTGTAAGGGAGGGGTCAGGGGCCCCTATAAGAACCCCTGCACAGGCGCTGCTCCTCCCCTCTTTTGCCCTTTTTTTACCCTTTCCCTTTTGCCTGCTCTTGTTCTAGTCTGCTATGGGACTGACCCATGGGCTCAATCCAGGCATGGATGCCTCCATGCCTGGGACCTTATTTTACTCCACTTTTACTTCTAAATAAAGACTTAATTTGATTGCATCCTTGCGTGCTGACCTTTTCTTGGAAGCGCCCTCAACGAACCATCGTTCTTCGTGAGATCCCTCACACGGATGATGACTCTGAGTCGGATGCAGAGAGGGGGCCAAGGCCATCTGGTAGTTCTCTGCTGCCTCCGGAGTCTCCGGAATCTGACATCAGCGAGGCAGAAGAACAGCGTGGGCCTGTTCCCAGTGTGCACAGGAACAATTAAGGAAAAAGGGTTGACTTCAGAGTAAGGCTTGGAGATGATTGGCCCCTCTCATAAGACATAAAAAAGAAGCGAACGAAACATGAGCTTTTGCAGAAAGCAATTAGTTCAAGAATTGAATTGATTCAAGATTTTAAAATTCTGTGTGTGACTCTTTGCCAAGTTTGGAAATCTGGAAATTAGCTTTTTGGCAGCGTTCCACATGAGATAGGTTGGTGTTGATAACCTTCCTCTGAAAGACAGTTTATCAAGCCTTGCAGACTGTAAGTGAAAGTAATTTACAGCCGTATGAATTAAAGAGGTTTGCCGGGACTAAGTTTGTGCTGCTTACTTTCTAAGGAAGCCTAGGTCAGAACAAGGCCCAAAATAGTATGACTATTAGTAGGAAGGGATAAATCATATTATGGTCACTTGGATGGGTTTCTTTAAAATGTCTATGGATATTCTCAGTCATCCAGGTCATAACTGTCTCATAGTTGGTTTTTCAAAAAGCAAGTGGGCTGTTTTTTTGGTTTGTTTGTTTGAGGTAGAAGAAGATGTTTCACTTCTCCTCCAAGAAGCTTCATCAGTTTTGACTGGATGGTGGGGAGAAATAGTCCAGTTGCCTTTTGAAAAAGCATCTTTGAAGTTTCTTTAAAATATTCCAATATCACCTATAATTTTTTCTTTGTCCCCCTATATAAGACCTGGTTTGCTGTTGCTTATGTGTGCTCAGCAAAGTATCAAAAGCTTTGCTGGGGATCCAGAATATACAGTATTATTTCTTGCATGCATGTAAATAAACAGTAAACAGTAACAGAGTTGGAAGGGATCTTAGAGGTCATTTAGTCCAACCCCCGGAGACCTGTACTAGGGATTCAAACTGCCAAACTGCTGACCTTTTTGATCGACAAGCTCAGTGTCTTAGCCACTGAGCCACCTAGTCGGGCTCATAAAACAGTGTTGTATCTTCAAAGTGATTTTGTTGCTTTACCTGAGCCTAAATTTGCTATCTTTTCTTTTTCTAATCTAGGCAAAGAAATACTTCTTTATATATATTTAAAGCTTCATGCCCCCAAGAATTGCCCATTAAAATAATTGCTCAGGTGGTATCATGCATCTCCCAATTTAATTGGGAATGATGTAAAGTTTCATAATGACTATCATTATCAGCCTCACCGGCACAAGTCAATTTATCAATGGTTTTAAATGGGTCGGGAAATCAGTCAACGATCTTCAAGGAATCTCAAAGTTTGTTCTGTGTTCCTTCTAATGTCTATTTTGATAATAACCCAGTTGTTATGTTACTATCAGTGGAAAAACTTAATTAAATCATATGGAAAACTGCTTGCTGAAAAATTAATATACCCTAATCCTCAAAGACATTGGCATCCTTCAATCTCAAGAGACTATGGTATCGTGCTCTGGAAAGAGGTGCTAAAACAGCATCTAGTGTGACTAAAAAGGCCAAATCCTCAAAGAATTCTGAGAGGAAAGACAAATTCAGTCAAATATGTATGTACCAGGGGTGGGTTCTAAATTTTTTTACTACCGGCTCTGTGAGCGTGGCTTATTTTGTGGGTGTGGTTTGGTGGTGGTGGTGGGGTAATGTGACTGGGTGGGTGTGGCCAACTTTTTTCTCTTACTTTTAAAAGCATTTTTTCTACAGCCTTAAGAAGTTGCAGAAAACAATGCTTTGAAAATCCTCTGACGTTCCCAGCTGAGCAATGGGATCATCAGAGGCTTTTTTTTTACTTTTAAAAGCATTTTTTCAGCTGAAGAGGTTATAGAAAAAATGCTTTTAAAAGTTAAAAAAAAAAGCCAGCTTCTGATGAGGTGGGCGGGGTAAGCGAGGGCGACCGGGCTGGGGACCGGTTTGGAGGTGTGGCCAGCCAATGTATTACCGGTTCTCGGAACTACTACAAATTTTTACTACCGGTTCTTACGAACCGATGTGAACCGGGAGCAACCCAACACTGGTATGTACATACAGACACACACACACAAGCACAATTTGAAGTAGTTTTGCTTATTGAAAATGGAATCTTGTTCCTTTTTTATTTCTTATGCGTTAATTGCTCTCTAGTGTTGAGTTCAGGCCTCAGTATAATTATATAGATTTTGGGAGTGAAGATGCATCCCAGTAAACCAACATCAGAAGACAGGATTGAGAAGATCTCCACAGCCACCACGTACTTCCCCTTGGTGCTCAGGTAGGTGGGGAGAAAGGTCAGCCAAACACTACAGAAAACCAACATGCTGAAAGTAATGAACTTGGCTTCATTAAAACTGTCTGGCAACTTCCTGGCTATGAAGGCCACAGTGAAGCTGAGAAGAGCCAAGAGGCCCATGTAGCCCAAGACACAGTAAAACATGATGATGGAGCCTTCATGACATTCGACTATCATTTCTCCATAGAGTGTCTCCATGTCTAAATGTGGAAATGGGGGAGATGTACTCAGCCAAACAATACAAATAACTACTTGAATGAAGGAACAGAACCAGATAATAGAATAGGCCAACTTTTGCCCCACCCATTTGTGGAATAGGCTTCCTGGCTTTGATGCTAGGAATGCTACAATGACTGTGATGGTTTTGGCCAATATAGAAGAGATTGCAATAGAGAAGATGATACCGAAATTAGTTTGTCGGAGGAGGCAGGTCGCCCTATTGGGCTTTCCAATGAACAGAAATGAGCAGAGGAAACAGAGAAAGAGGGAGATAAGTAGAAGGTAGGTGAGGTTGCGATTGTTGGCTTTGACAATGGGAGTGTCCCGTTGCTTAATGAAGATTATAAACACCAAAGCTGTAAGTAGGGAAAAAAGAAGAGACAGAGACACCAGAGTAATGCCCAGTGGCTCTTCAAAGGAGAGGAAATGCAGTGTCTTTGGAATGCACTCATCGTGAGCTTGATTTGGAAACTGATCCTCTGGACAACTGTCACAATTCTCCATGTCTGAAAAGAAGAAAAAAGTTTCTGAACAGGCTTAAAATCAGAAGTTTCAGAATTTCTTTTCTGAATTTTCCTGCAATGTACGTTTTTTCTATATCCTTTTGTAACTCTCTATTCAACCTAGATGAGCCATGGTGGCGCAGTGGTTAGAGTGCAGTACTGCAGATTACTTCTGCTGATTGTTGGCTGCCTGCAATTTGTCAGTTCAAATCCCACCAGGCTCAAGGTTGACTCCGCCGTCCATCTTTCTGAGGTGGGTAAAATGAGGACCCAAATTGTTGGGGGCAATAGGCTGACTCTGTAAAATGCTTAGAGGGCTGTAAAACACTGTAAAGTGGTATATAAGTCTAAGTGCTATCACACTTGGCAATAACATGTTCTGTTCTGTTCTGTTCTGTTCTATTCTATTGCTAGATTGTAAAAATGAGTACTGTAGGAAAGACTATTTAGATTTTTCTGCATGGCAATGTTCTTGGAGTGCACTAGTTTTTATAGCATTTCTGAGCAAGAGAATAGCATTTCCCACTTTGTAAAACTGTGCCAACTAGTGGGAAAGAGAAAAGAGATGTTTGAGACATTAGATCCTGAAAAATGTGCAGTAGCACTAGGGGATAGGAGAACAGGAACAGTGCTTGCAAAAATAGTGCTTGCAAAAATAGAGTTGCATATGCCCAAGCCATTGACATAGAACCATCCTCTCTATGTCCCTGCCGGTCCATCAAACCGAAAAGGTTGGAGACTGCTGGTGTAGAGGACATCACTATTGTCTCTTCATTTTCCTCCTCTGTGATGCCTCAATACAGTGAGCAATAACGTTGAAGAGATTCTTGTTAACTGGGATACAGACTGGTTCCATTGGATGCCTTGAATCTTACCCATTTGTCTGGATATCATTTTTCCTGGACAGGGAGCACAAGTGTAGCAGCAAAACTTCTGCCCTTCGATCTTGTTCTTTCTTTTTCCAAGAGGACATGGCTCATTACATAATGAGGGAGGAGGGACCTGTCCACAAATAAAGAAAGAAGTCAGTAGCAATGTTTTATTTATGTTTTTGTCTTACAAGCAATGAATAAAAACAACTGTTGCTAGTAATTTCTGCCATGTAACAGACAATTTAACCTCCAAAAGGTTACCAGAATCTGAGCGTCTGTCTCTGTCTCTCTGCCTCTCTCTCTCTCTCTGGGTCTGTCTCTCTCTCTGTTTCAGTCCCTCTCTGTCTCTCTGTCTCTCTCTGTCTCTCTTTCTGTCTCTCTGTTTCTGTCTCTCTGTCTCTCTCTGTCTCTCTTTCTCTGTCTCTGTCTCTGTCTCTGTCTCTATCTCTGTCTCTCTGTCTCTCTGTCTCTCTGTCTGTCTCTCTCTTCTCTACCTACCTATCACCTTTCTATCCAATTTCAAATCACCCATCTCCCTCTCAGAGCCCATATTATTGTTATGGTACCTGAGTGAATCCATGATGCCACTGGATTTTGTGTTGATGAATAAGGAAGTTTCCTCTTTGTGGATCTATCTCTCCAACTGGAATGTTGATATAGGAGTTGTTTGGGAAAGTAACCAAATTTACAATGTCAAATCCATCTTCTAGTGCTCCTCCTTCATTTAATTTAATTTCATCTCCAGCATTGTTGTTGAAGGAAATTCTCTGCAGAAATGAATGGAGCTTGCAGAAGAAAAAGTATAAGGGTTAAAGGTTGTAAATTAGATTAGATTAACAGAGTTGGACGGGATGTTGTAGGTCATCTAGTCCAACCCCCCACCCAAGCAGAAGACCCCACACTATTTCTGGCAAATGGCAGTCCAATCTCTTCTTGAAAGCCTCCAGTGATGAAGCTCCCACAACTTCCAAAGGCAACTTCTGTTCCATTGGTTGATTGTTCTTACTGTCAGAAAATTTCTCCTTATTTCTAGATTGAATCTCTCCTTGTTCAGTTTCCATCCATTATTCCTTGTCTGGACTTCAGGTGCCTTGGAAAATAGTTTCTCACCCTCCTCTCAAATACTGGAACACTGCTATCATGTCACCCCAGGTCCTTCTCTTCACTAGATTAGCCATGCCCAGTTCCTGCAACCATTCATCGTAAGTTATAGCTTCCAGCCCCCTAATCATCTTGGTTGCTCTTCTCTGCACTCTTTCTAGAGTCTCAACATCTTTTTTATAGTGTGGTGACCAAACGTGGATGCAGTATTCTAGGTGTGGTCTTACTAAGGCTTTATATAGTGGTTTTAGTAACTCACATGATCAGACAGACCTCACTCTGATTACAGAGACATTCATCTGCTAACCAGTGTTTGTCAATCTTGGCAATTCTAAGATGTATGGACCAATTCCCAGAATTCCTGTGTCAGCATACCCACTGGGGAACTCTGGGAGTTGACGTCCACAGAAATTTTAAACCTGCCAAGGTTGAAAAGCACTGATTTAAGCCATTCTCTTGACACATAGAACATTAATATAGACTAGTATAGGAAGTCTAAATTTCTAAATACTTTTCAAGCAGTAACACCGCTATCATGTCTCCCCTGTCCTTCTCTTCACTAGACTAGCCATGCCCATTTCCTGCAACCGTGTTTCATATGTTTTAGTCTTTAATCCCCTAATTATCCTGGTTGCTCTTCTCTGTACTTTTTTGGTTGCTTCTTCTCTGCATTTTAAAGGAAAACAAATTAGCCTCCAAAATGGCTTCAAACAACACCGCTTTTTAAATTTGGAGTGTTTTTCCCTCTGGGAATAAAGAAGGATAAAAGACTGAAAGAGACTGGTTATTATATTGAACCATAGTCCACCTTATGAATTAAAATCTCTTTAGTAGATGTTGATTTTTTTTTAGTGACAATTCAGAGAGGTAGTGGAAAAAGAGAAAGAAGCAGCTATGGGAAGAAAATTTACAGAGAAGTAGAAAGGAAAAGTATGTTAAAGATCAGTTTTGTTGATGTAGAATGAGGAAAAAGCTGAGATGTGTAGACAAAAGAAAATACCTTCAGTGGGTCAATATTTGTAATGTAGTAATCTTGAAGAAAGATGAACATTGGTGATGCTTAGATAGATAGTCTGCAGTGATCTGTTGACTCACTAAGTCTTGGCACTCTGTAGTAACCAAGGAGAACATTTCAAAAGAGCATTGAGAAAGGGGAAATCATACCTGCCAGGCTTCTACAATCTTTGATCGCCCTTGATCCTTTTGTATCTTCTGATAAGTCCTCACTGTTTGAGCAGCCCGTAATGCTTGAGCCACAGCATAGATTGCATTATAGATACTGTAACTATGGCCAAGTATTCTGGTTTCAAAGAAGGGTGCAATAAGGTCCTCTAGTCTTTCCTCTCCAGTACATTCCTCATCTTGAGAAACACCATTATTTGGTGGTGAACAGCAAAAAGCTTGGCTCCAGAAATCTCTAATAAAGCCATCTTGACTTGCCTCTGATGGGGTGACGGCCTGTATAAATTGTTGGAAACCTGGAAGTTCTCTTGTGCTAATTGAGAAGGAAATTGCCCCATGGAACATTTGCATATCAACAGCTCTTTGTAAGGAATATAATGTGAAATCATTTTGGGCCATTGTGATCCAAATTTTTGGTATGGAAATTTTCTGTGAAGAATCCAAAGGCGTTGAAAGGAAAAATTGGGTGCCTTGTAGAATAGAGGCCAACCACATAAAGACTGCATTTTCTCCATGTATAATAACTGCATTTGCTGTTTTCTCTGTGAACAAAGTAATGTGCCTCAGACAACGATCAATCAAGTCAAATCCTTCAGAAGAATATAAATTTCTGTCAACCCTTTCGGTGAATTCGGAGCAGATTTTATTTTGAGAGAGCATGGGTTCCAGAGTTTGTATGAAATGTTCTCCATATTTGTCATCTACAATGACAAGTCCTACCCATTTCCAGCCAAAGTACAGGAGGAGCTGGACTAAACCCTCATACTGGAAAGCTTCGTCGGGGGCCATGCGATAAAAAGGGGGGAAACGTGATTCATCAGTCACGGCCAATTGAAATGAGCCATATGAAATCTAAACAAAAGAAAGGAGGTATAAGAGAAAGGGAAAATGACAGAGAAAGAGAATGGATGGATATATTCATTTTTTATTGATTTAAACTACTTTATTTTTCAAAATATAGTTGTTTAATAATATAGATTTGGCTTAGAGATCTCCCCAAAAAGGGAGATATCCTTTCTGAATCTTATCTGTCTATTCTCCTCCTCCTCCTCCTCCTCCCCATCCTCCTCCTCTCTTTTTCTTGAAGTTGACTTGAGTATTTGAATTTAAAGAATCAAATCTTTCAGTGCATCCTATGTCAATATTTCTTCTATATGTTGTCCTCCCCATGTTTAATATGAAATCCAAATGTTTGCCCACATTATGCTTAAAAAGTATGAATTGAAATCAGTGAGGCAGTTAATGATAGCTAGCATAAACCTGCAGGTTCAGACAACTAAAGTTCTGTATGTCTCTATTCATCTTACTGAAAGCCATGATATATTGACGAGAAAGACGGATTCATCCTTTACTCTAATTTTTTTTACATCTCTCTACTGATAAACCATCAAGTTGCTTGTTGAAGGAGAACTCAAAAAGTGACAATCTGTGTGATTGTCCTAATTTTGAGATCTTTAATTATGGTTCCAACCTGTGGGATCTTGAAAAGCTGCAAAATTTCTGCCATGCGTATGGAAGTTTCAGGGCTCATCCCTCCAATGATTCCCATCACTTTCTTTTCAGTCCCACAAATATAGTTGGGGACAATTTTATGCAACTTAAAAAGCAGGTCCAGAGTGGTGCGATAGGTCATTAGTGGATCAGAATAGCTGTCATAGATGTGGAATCCAAGAGTGATGTTGGGCAAGATGTCAGGATCCTTGTTGATCTCCTTCGCAGCAAATGTTAAAGCCAAGACGTGTTGGTAGAACTTGGTTACCACACTGTAAAAAAGTCATTTGTTTCAAAGGAGAACTGTGCTATGCATTACATAGTAAGGAAGACATATCCAGTGACAAAAATACTATTAGAAAGACTTATTGACAAGAAAACTATGCTGAAGTTCAGAGTTTTATGATTCAAGGTTTATATCATATATTAACTGGATTATTTAACTGTATCCTTAAATCATCCTTTTAAATATTAAATATTTAATTAAATACTAAAATATATATACTGATGTATTTAACATCAGATACCTGTACAATTTTGGACTCACTTGAGAAGAGCCTAATGCTGGGAACGATTGAGGGCAAAAGAAGAAGGGCAGAGAATGAGGTGGCTGGATGGAGTCACTGAAGCAGTTGGCATGAGCTTAAATGGATTCCAGGGGATGGTAGAGGACAGGAAGGCCTGCAGGAATGTTGTTCATGGGGTCGCGATGCGTCGGACATGACTTCGCAACTAACAACAACAACAACAACAAGAACAATACGTACAATTAGCACAGGAGGCCACAGGCTGTGTGCTCTCTCCACTTCTCTTCATTCTATACACCAATGACTGCATCTCAAAAAATTCCTCTGTTAAAGTACTGAAGTGTGCAGATGATACAACAGTGATTGGTCTCATTCGAGACAATGGTGAACCTTTATACAGATGGGAGGTTGAACAACTTCAACCTTGTGGTGCAATCACAATCAACAATCTTGAACTAAATACGCTCAAAACCAAAGAAATGGTGGTTGATTTTAGGAGAAACCCTCCTATACTACCACCTCTTACAATATTAGACAACACAGTATCAACAGTAGAGTCCTTCAAGTTTCTAGGTTCTATCATATCTCAAGACTTAAAATGGACACCTAACACCAAAAATGTCATTGAAAAAGCACAACAAAGAATGTTCTTTCTGGGCTCAAACTTCCCAAGAAGCTGCTGATTCAGTTCTACAGAGGAATTATAGAGTCTGTCATCTGCACCTCTATAACTGCCTGGTTTGGCTATGCAACCAAACAAGACAGACACAGACTTCAACAGATAATTAGAACTGTAGAATAAACAATTGCTATCAACCTGCCTTCCATTGAGGACCTATATACTGCACGAGTCAAAAAGGGGGCTGTGAAAATATCTACAGACCGCTCACATCCTGGACATAAATTGTTTAAACTTCTACCCTCAAAATGATGCTATAGAGCACTGCACAACAGAACAACTAGACACAAGGGCAGCTTTTTCCCGAATGCCATCACTCTGCTAAAAAAATAATTCCCTCAACACTGTCAACTTATTTACTAAGACTGTATTACTATTTTTCTTCTCATCCTTCCTAGTACCTACTGTATCTCTTCCCACTTATAACTATAACCATGTTGCTTGTATCTTTACACTTTATATTGTTTTATTTGTTTCCTAATACAATTTGATTGCTTATTAGTAACCTATGACTATCGCTAAGTTTTGTATCTTATGATTCTTGATGAATGTATTTTATTTTTCTTTGTGTACACCGAGAGCATATGCACCAAAGACAAATTCCTCATGTGTCCAATCACACTTGGCCAATAAAGAATACTATTCTATTCTGAAACAAAATAAGGGATAGTAGGAATCATTAAATAATAAATAAGAAAACTCTGAAGAGAAGACAGGTTATCGAGTTGGAAGAAATAGAACCGGTTCAATTTTTTTTTAAATGAGAATATGAGCTGAGTGGACCAAATTTATCTTATAGCGGGAACTCAGTGGCGAGGAAGTAGAGCTGATGACTATAGCTATATCTTTAGAAATTGATTTTTCCTTCCATGGTGAACTCTTTCTGCTCTTAAAAGGGGATGGTGAAGAGAAGAGGCCCCATTTATACTGGTAAAGTTTTGTGTTTCAGCTTTGCATTTTTCTTTCAAAGATTGTGGATCTTTTTGAAATAGGACAGGTGGATCCCAAATCTCTAAGCAAGACATGAAAAAATAGAGACACAGTTCTCAACAGAATATCTGCTTGTCCTGGTCTATCGGATTTTGGTTTAATTAGAAAAGAGGATGTTGAATTAACACATCATTTCTATATAACAAGCTGCTGTTAAAGATATGTCCATGATACATTTATATTTGTTAACAGATGATGATGGAACCTCTCTGTTTTACAGAGATTGAAAGAAAAGAGCAGAATTAGATTAAAATAAGATAAGAGAGGGATTTCTTACAATGGGAAGTCAACCGATTCCTCAGAAGGATGTTTATCAAAAGTAACATTGGGAGACATGTATCGAACATGAGACACCAATCCACCAATGAGAAGGTCTCCATCCTCGTACCATTCCTGTGGAATTTGAATGGCTTCATCTCCAGTGCACTTAAGAGGCTGTATCTTGATGGCCAATTCCGGAAACAGTAAAATGCCAATAATCCCCAACATTCCTGCTGATTTGGCTTGTCCAGTATTGCTGTTGCCAACAGCCTTGATTCAAACAGGATACTATAGAGAGTGAGAGAAATGCTACCTTTGTTGAGATCTGTCTTTAGAATATGTCTTGTCTCATTTATTGATTTGATCCATTACCTTAAGCCTCCCTTATGTCTGGATGCTCCGAGTCTAATACCTAATTATTAGGCTCTTTTTTCATTTGCAAAATGAAAGACCACTAGATATGAGGCTTTAGCAGAATTCTAATGGTCTTGTATAATTACTCCAAGATGATGGGCATTGTATATTTCACAGGTATGGAGTAATGTAGCTAGTTTCACATAGAGAAATCTGGGAGAATCTGTCAGCTCTGGAATTGATTAGGCATTGGCTGATCAACAGTCTAAAAATATTAGCACAAAGCCCATAAGAAATATATATTTATGCTATGAACAGCAAATAGATACAAGATTCTGAGAGCCCAAATTTATGACAATCATTCTCATATTGACCCTATCATGGTTGGGAAGCATTTCAACCAGTTTTGAGGAATAATCCTCAGCAGGGAACAATATATTGGAGATATATATCTATTCTGTGATTTGCTCCTGCTGGTTCCTTCAGAAGCACCTTGAGAGCCACTGGAGGATTGACCTGATGACTTAATCATCATGTCTGTGATATCTGGAGAGATGTTGCTGGAGCAAACATGTTTGTGAACAGAGACCTCTTTCTGTTTGCTTTTGGGGATTGAAGAACTGCGCTTGAGGTCTATAATTTGGCTGAGTGGCCTATTGCTCAGAGTTACATACATGAAATTTATGGCCATATACGTTCTCTAAATCAATCAATCAAATCAATCATCAATCAATTATCAGTAAATTAATCTCCCCCTCACATACAAACACACAAAGAGGCTAAATTTAGGCTCCTAATTTTTCACATATTGCGGTAGTAAAATGGTTGCATTCACTATCAAATGTATGAGATGCCACCAATTTATATGAACTGCTGAAGTGACTTGTAAGAAAACATTCAGAACAAGCTGGACTGTCCCAAAATGGTGAGAGGGACAAGACATCATGAGGAACCTGTGACTCAGAAAACCAGATGGTTTCTATTTACTGACCATAGGCCTGTTGTGGCCCGCCGGTGGCCAGTAGAGCTGGCAGCAGAGTTGAACAGTGAGGAGGTTGGGGAGGAATGTGGGCCAGTCCTGGAGTCTGGGGAAGGCTCGGATGATGAGCCTTGGCCTCCGCTGCAGAGTGGGGGCCAAGGCCATCTGGTAGTTCTTTGCTGCCTCCAGAGTCTCCGGAGTCTGGCATCAGCGAGGCAGAAGAACAGCGTGAGCCGTTTCCCAGTGTGCGCAGGAACAACTAAGGAAACAGAGTTGACTTGGGAGTAAGGCTTGGAGATGATTGGCCCCTCTCATAAGACATAAAAGAGAAGTGAACGGGGGCTTCCGGTGATTTCATACTGAATGGAGGACTAGGAATGGTGAAGCTGCTGATCCTAGTTTTCCCTTTTCTGTGTCTGGTGGTTGTTCCTGCGCCATCGTGAGCCATCGTGAGCCATGGAGAGGTTCGTGAAGAAGGGGAGGCATCGGGGCATGCGAGGAGGTGGCTCTCCCGCATGCTGGCAGATTTCTTCTCAGGGTGCCAGCGTAGAAAGAGGGCGGCATGGGATCGCCCCGAAATCGTGACTACGCCGCTTGGAGCGGGAAGCCCGCCAGCGTGGTGTAAGAACTCTGCTTTATTAAGTTAGCTTCGAGCTGATTGAACCTCCTGCCTAAGATACATATAAGATTTGCCATTTACTGGGAGAGCGGCTGAGATGGAGAAACGCTGTCTTGTAAACTTCTTGCTGCTAGCTGTTATTCCCCCCTCAGAAGCGGCCATTGATCTCCCTTTGAACTCTGATATTATCCCTATAACTCCCTTTGAACTCTGATATTATCACCCCCTCCCCCCCTTTTTTTGTCTGTTGGATGAGGAATAATTGCTTGATCTTGTTGGAATTTGCGATTGGAGACATAGTGAAATTTTCTCTTTTACTTCTTTCTTTGTTACATTATCAGAAGAGGTGAGCTTTTTGCTACATCATGACTTGACACTTTTTTTCTTCCCCACTGCTGAAGACAGAGATTGCCCTTGGGTGGTCTTGTACTGCCACCTAGTGGTTGATCTGGATATTACAACTAAAAGGGAAGGAAAAGAAAGGAAAGGAGGGGAAAAAAGATATATTATACACTGCCTCATAGTAAACATTGAAAATTGAATAATTTGGATGTATCAAGAGCTGATGAATTAACTTATTTGATTTAAAAGACTTGATTAACATATTTATTTAATAAAGAGCAGAGGAACAGTGGTTGTTTTCAGTTACGTCTACATCTTCAACTATTACCACAACAAATAAGAAAGTCATCTGTTCGATACATTTAGTTTCTAGAAGAACATCGGAAGATATGTCGGCGACGGGGAAGATGCACTCTATGCAGGCTCTTCAAAATATGTTACAAACCATCCAGGAATTGATGGCTAAGAATCAAGAGTCGACAGCTAAGAACTTCGAGGACTTGGGAGCAGACGTGAAAGCAGAAATGAGAGGGGTTAAGGAAGAAATTAAAGAGATGCAAAGTGAATTGGGAGATATACGACAGACATTAATACAACAAGAGGAAAAAATGAAGGAGATAGAGAAGAAGACGGAGAGATGCGAAGGACGGATGGACAGTTGGGAGAAGAGACAAATAACGATAAATAGGGACTTAGAGGAAGAAATAATTTTTTTGGAGATGGAGAAATCTTTTTTCTTAGAATACAGAATGTGGCGGAAGAGAAAGGTGAAAACCTGGATGACATTGTAGGAGAAATAGTTGCAGAAACTTTGGAGGCGGATAGATTCATGATCCAATGGGATATTGATGAGTCCTTTAGAGTATTCACTAGCTACACAAAAAGGAACAATCTCCCTCAGGAAATTCATGTTTGTTTTAATAAGAAAGCCTTGTGTGAAGAATTTTATAAATGAACAAGGGATCAAACTATTGCATATAAAGGCCAACAGACAATAGTTTTGAAACAAATTCCACGTCGGGTAAGAGAACAGAGACATAGATATCAATTTTTGATGACTTTCCTGAGGAAAAACGCAATTTCATATCGTTGGCTGTTACCTGAAGGCTTATTGATGACATGGAGGGATAAGAAAGTGAGGATTTGGAGTCTTCAAGAAACAAGAGAACTCATGGAACAACAATTTAATTTGTCAGAATTAGATGTTGAAGGAGAAGGGGAAAGTAGAAGCCTGGAGGAATCGCAAGAGGAAGAAGAGGTAGAGGAGAGGGGAGAAGGAAAGGCGGGAAAGAAGGGTGGGGGAACACGAAAAGTTGAGGAATTAACAGCGCCTCAGAGGGAGACAAGACAAACAGCTAAGAAGGCTACAACAGCGGGAAAGTAAAAACTTTGGTGAGAAAAGGAGATGGGGGAATTAGTACGTTTGATATCTGTAAATATTAATGGTTTAAATGCTCCTAATAAGCGTAGTAGGATTTTGAATAAATTAAGAAAGGCTAAGTATGATATTGTCTGCATGCAGGAGACCCATATAAAAAAAGATCAAAACCATTTGTTAGAATGCCGGGCGTTGGGTAAAACTTATACCTCATTAGCAGGTCAAAAAAAAAAAAGAGAGATAGTGGTATATGTACTACATCATTTGAAATTCCAACAGGTTTTTGCTGACCAGGAAGGCCGGGTTCTCATGCTTGAAATAGAAATTGCCCAGTGGAAGTCTTTATTGGTTTGTATTTATGCCCCTAATGACAATTGGAGGACTTTTTATCAAAACTTATATGTTAAACTGGGGGAACTGGAATACGAACATGTTTGTTTAGTGGGAGATTTCAATGCTGTAATGGATAGTGTTAAGTTGGGTGAATGAGGACACAGCAAGCCAGGCAGTGAGTGACAACAGCTCTTTATTGTAGGGTGAGAACCCAGCGACTGACCTAGGGAAACAGCTCCCTTTATATACCTTGCAACTGTGGTGGTCAGCCAATCAGCTGAGGGTCAGTTAATTCAAACTTCCTGCCAAACAAACCTATTTACATAACACTCCTCCCCTCCCAGAAGTCACTTTCGGTTTTATTTACATATAAAGTCTCTCAGGTGACCGGGGCGTGTATGTAGCCTGGTCAACCTGCGCAGTTCAGTCGGAGGGGCGGCGTCAACCAGGTCGGAGGGACTCCCTGTTTCTCCCTGCTCCGCCAATGGAACCTCTGAGATTTCCTCGTGGGCGGAGACTTCTCTGGCTGGTGGAAACTCCTCGCTGGGGCGGCTCCGGATGCCAGGATCGTCAGCTAAGTCCTCTGCTGCACTCGGGCTTGACTTAGTTTGTTGTTCTGGCTGGTAGTCAGGGAGCAGTTCGTTGAAGTTTTCCTCAGTGTCTGTTGCGATTCGCCTTCTCAGTTGATCTATGTGCCTGCACCAAACTCTCCTGTCCCCCATGTCTACCCTGTACGATTTGGGCCCCGTGATTTCTGTGATTGTCCCTGCTTCCCAGAGTGGGCCCTTTCCGTAGTTCCTGGCATGGACTGGAGTCTCTATGGTGAACTCCCTGAGTTTCCTCTCCCCCCCTTTGAAAACCTCGGGGGAATAATTGGGATTTAGCCTATCCAGTACGCCTTGGAGCTTCCTCCCCGTTAATAGTTCTGCCAGGCTTCGGCCTGTGGCTGTACATGGTATGGAATGCTGGGCTGTGAGGAATCGATCTATTCTTTCCTGCCAGTCCCCGGGCCTAGGCGTGAGAGGGCCTCCTTGGCTGTTGTTACAAATCTCTCAGCCTGCCCATTACTAGCCGGATGGAACGGGGCCGAGAGGACATGTCTGACCCCCAAATCTGCTAGATATCCCTCGAATTGTGTGGCTGTGAATTGGGGCCCATTGTCTGACACTAGGATGTCCGGTAACCCATGGGTAGCGAATAACTGCCTCAGTTCCCTGATAACTGCGTCAGTGATAGTGGCCCTCATGAGCTTAATCTCTAGCCACTTGGAAAAGGCATCGACTACGACCATGAAGGTCTGACCATGAAACGTGGATCCTGGACCAGGGTCCCTTGGGTCTCTCCCAGTCCCTCACTGGTGCTGACAGTGGATCTGGCCTAGACTCTTGGCAGGGCTGGCATCTCCCCACCCACTCGGTAATGTCTACATCCATGTTGGGCCACCAGACGTAGCTCCTGGCTAGTCCCTTCATACGTACAATCCCAGGGTGCCCCTCATGCAACAGTGTTAAGACTTTTTCCCTTAGGCACAAGGGAACAATAACCCGTTCGCCCCATAGCAAGCACCCCCCTTGCATTGTTAGTTCATCCCATTTGCTCGCATACTGTTTGAATTCCCCACTCCCAGTCTTTTCCGGCCACCCCCTCGTCACCCAACTTGTGACTGTCTGGATCACATGGTCTTTGTTTGAGGCTCTGGCTACCTCTGCTGATGTGATGGGCCCCGAGTCCAAAACATCTATCAGCAGGATGGGGACGCCGGATGTGGGGTCGTCCAGCTTGTCTAGTAGTGGGCAGCGGCTGAGTGTGTCGGCGTTTCCCATGTCCGCCCCTGGTCGATGTACCAGGCGATAGGAGTAGGCTGCGAGGAAAATGGCCCAGCGTGTCATCCTGGGCGATAGGGTTGCCGGTGTTGGTCAATCTCCTGCGATGAGACCCAGGAGCAGCTGATGGTCGGTGATTAGGTCGAAGTCCCTCCCTAACAGGTACTCGTGGAACTTCTTTACTCCCAAGATGGCGGCGAGGGCCTCTTTGTCAAGCTGACTGTAATTCCTCTCAGCGCTTGACAGAGTTCGGGAGTAATAGGCGATGGGCGCCTCTAAGCCATTCGGGAGTCTATGGCTCAGGACGGCTCCCATGCCGAAAGGAGATGCATCATATGCTAAAACAAGGGGAAGCGTTGAGTTGTATTGGATCAAGAAACTCTCGGCTGATAGCAATTTCTTGATGTTTGTAAATGCCCTGTCCTCGGCCTTCCCCCATTTCCATGTGGACTTTTTGGCTAACAGTCTGTGTAGGGGTTCAGCCACTGTTGCCTTGTCTTTTAAGAAGATTGCATAAAAGTTAAGCAGTCCCAGGAACACCTGTAGTTCCACCTTGTCTTTAGGGGTAGGGGCCTCTTGGATTGCCCTGATTTTACTCTTGGTGGGGTATATGCTGGTGCCATCTACTCGGTACCCCAGGAACTCTACGGAGGGGACTGCGATCATGCATTTGTTGCATTTGACCCGGAGTCCAGCATTTCTGAATTTTTCTAAAACCATTCTCAGCCTCCCCCCCAGTTGTTGTTCGTCTTCCGCCGTGATGAGTACATCATCGAAATAGGGAACCACCCCAGGGATCCCTTGCAGCAGCCGCTCCATTGTACTTTGAAAAAGTCCGGGGGCTATGCTGACTTCAAATTGCAGGCGCGTACATTTGAAGGCGCCACTATGCGTTATGATAGTCTGTGCTTCTGCGGTAGCGCCATCTACCGGCAGCTGCTGGTACGCCTGCGCAAGATCAAGTTTAGCGAAGATCTTGCCGGGGCCCAGGGAAAGCAGGAGGTGGTGCACAATTGGGACCGGATAAGCGCTCTGTTGCAGAGCCTTATTAATTGTGCATTTATAATCGGCGCATATGCGCACTGACCCGTCCGGTTTCACGGGTGTCACAATTGGGGTCTCCCATTTGGCGTGGTTGACTGGCACAAGCACCCCTTGCTTTATTAGCTTGTCCAGCTCAATGTCTATCTTGGGTTTCAGGGCGAATGGTACCCTCCTAGGCTTTAAATAGATCGGGGCAACGTTGGGGTCGAGGTTGAACGAGATAGGGGTCCCCACATACTTGCCAAGCCTTTCGTCGAAAATGTCCTGGAACTCTTGCATCAGGTCATCCCTCAGGGTGCTCTGGATGTTCCTCACTCCGGTGAATCCCATGCCCAGGGCTTGAAACCAGTCCATGTCCAGGAGACTTGGGAGCTTGCCGCTGATGATGGTGAGGGGGAGTCTCTCGCTGAACTCCCCGTATTGTACCTGGAACTCACCTATTCCTTCGCCCGGGATGCGGTTCCCTTGGTAATCTTTAAGCCGGCGTTGCTGTGGTTGGAGCTGCCCCTTGTGTGCGCTGGGGATGGCTTTCTTGAGGTTGGCCCATGACATGATGGATATGGGGGATCCCGTGTCGATCTCCATCTGGCATTCATGTCCCTCGATCTCAACCGCAGTGTAGGTCTTCTTGCTGGGTGATGTGCAGGTCTGGCCGACGTAGATGGTGTAGGCTTCTATGTCTTCAATTTTTGTGCCCTTCCGGCTTCCACCATCTTTATTGGGCCTCTGGTGTGGCACCATCTCGGATTGGTAGGTTTGGCCTCGTGGTTTGTGGCCCTGTGCTTGCTTAGCTCTGCAGACTCGAGCGATGTGCCCCCTTTTCTCGCAGAACCGGCAGATGGCATCTTGGAACTTGCAGTTGTGTCGGGGGTGGGGGCCTCTGCAGCTGGCGCAATCATCTCTGGGTCCTCATCGATCTGGCCTGGACTGCTCTGTGCGGTAGACTTCCTCCTCAGACTCCCCTTCACTCTCGGTGCTCACGGCTTCACGGTGCACAGCCGCCGACCTCTGTGCTGTCTGGCCATGGATGGTCCCTTGCAGTCCCTTGCATGGCGGCCTTCACGGATGACTCTTGTGCTCTCGCTTCATCTAGGGCGATGTGCAGGGTCAGGTTCGATCTCGCAAGTAGCTTCTGTTGTAGCCGGCCGTCCCTCACTCCGCAGATTAGTTGCTCTAGGAGCATCTCATCTAGGTCTCGGTACTCACACTGGTTTGCGGCCTTATGCAGGGCAACGACGTACTTGCTGATCGATTCGCCGTCCTGCTGCAGCCTTTGCTGGAACTTGTACCGCTGGACGTACTTGGAAGGCATTGGGGCATAGTGGTCTTTCAGCAGGGTCTGCAGCGTTGACCATGATATGGTGTGGACCAAATTCAGCTCCGCCAAGGCTTCGGCTGTGTCGAACACCCGTGGTCCGCAGTGTCTCAGGAACAGGGCCTTCTTCCACACGTCCGGTAGCCCTTGCAGGTCATTGGCCACCATGAAGCACTTGAACCGGGACATGTAGGACCCTCACTTCTCCTCCTTGGGGTTGAAAGGCGCTGGCGGGGTGTAGGCAGACATTGTTCGCTATTCTCCTGGGCTCCGCTCGCTTGCTCGCCTGGCTGGATTCTGTAGTCGGGCGTTCCGCTTCTCTCTCGGAACATGGTTTCAGCTCTTTTCGGTTGTGGCTTCAGCTCTTCCTTGGCTTCTGGCCTCAAAATCCCATCCTCGTCGCCAATGTTAAGTTGGGTGAATGAGGACACAGCAAGCCAGGCAGTGAGTGACAACAGCTCTTTATTGTAGGGTGAGAACCCAGCGACTGACCTAGGGAAACAGCTCCCTTTATATACCTTGCAGCTGTGGTGGTCAGCCAATCAGCTGAGGGTCAGTTAATTCAAACTTCCCGCCAAACAAACCTATTTACATAACAGATAGAATGCAGGATTATGTCCCAGGAAATATACAAGGAAGGTTGAAGGATATTAAGAGAACATTACCAAAAATATGTAATGATTTAAGGGAGGAATTTGGATTGCAGGATATATGGAGGTTGAGAAATTCCCAATAAAAATCAATATACTTATTTCTCTCCTAGACACCACTCGTGGACCCGAATAGATATGATATGGATGTCTCTTGAGTTGAGGGGGTTGGTCTCGGAAGTGGAAATAGGGCCCAACCAGTGGGCAGACCATAACCCGCTAATGGTAACTTGGAAGATCCCACATTGTAGGAAGGGTAGATGGAGAATGAATATAGGTATTTTGAGAGATGAAGAATTTATGAGTAAATTTAAGAAGGAGTTACATCTTTTTTTTCAGGAAAATAAGAAAGAGGATACTTTCAGTGTAGGCAGTGATGAGGGGATGGTTAATCAAATATATGATTGACAAACGTAGGGCGGGTAGGAAACACCGAGACAACCTCTTGAATAAATTACAACGGGTGGAAGAAAGGATGCAAAATGGATTAACCCAGACAACATTGATAGAGGAAAGGGATTTCTGGCAACACTAGATTAAATTATTAGATCAAGAGGAATTAGCAAATAAAATAAAGTGGACTAAATAACATTTCTTTGAAAGGGCGAACAAAACAGGAAGTTTACCGGCTTAGAAAGGAGCAGGAACAATGGAGAATAGAAGGCCTGAAAGATGTAATTGGGAATCTTCATTGTACTAAGGAAGGCAAGAGAATGGTAGCTCAGGATTTTTTCACACAGCTTTATCAGAAAGGGGAGGAAAATATTTGTGAAATTCGAAAATATTTTGAAAAGACAGACTTGCCTAAAGTCTCGGAAACAATGAAAGGTATTCTTAATGCGGAATTTACGATGGAGGAAGTAGAAACAGTTATGAAAGCACAAGTGAATGGCAAAACCCCGGGTAGAGATGGCCTTCCAGTTGAACTATACAAAATAGTGTTTGAAGTGGTAGGGAAACACATGACAGATTTATTCAATGCAGTTATGAAAGAGGCTCAGGTTCCAGTATCTTGGACTGAGGCTTATATTTCTATTATCCCAAAAGAAGGAGCTGACCTATCTCTTATTAAGAATTATAGACCTATATCATTACTAAATTCCGATTATAAGATATTCGCGGGGGTCCTTGCAGCCAGACTTAGCTGTTTCCTTAACCAATTCATTCATTCAGACCAAAACAGCTTCCTTCCTAATAAATACTTACGAGATAATCTTAGAATTATCATGAATACATTAGAATTTTTCGAAAATCACCCAGATAAACAATTAGCTTTAATTTTTGTTGACGCCCAAAAGGCGTTTGACAGAATCAGTTGGGAATTTATGATTTCTCAATTGGAATATATGGAGTTTGGTGGGAATTTTATTCGGGCAATTTGAGCTATCTACCGGGAGCAGTTTGCAAGAGTTTTCATAGATGGAGAGGAAAAGGAGAGGATTCAAATTTGTAGAGGTACAAGACAGGGATGTCCCCTTTCCCCATTGCTATTTGTATTGACTTTAGAGCCCCTGCTTAGAGAAGTGAGAGGAAATATGGAAATAAGAGGAATGAAGATTAGGCGGGAGGAAGTTAAAGTCCAGGCTTATGCAGACGATCTTGTATTTATCTTGGATCAACCATTGGACTCGGGCCTGAAATTATTACGCTTGATTCGAGAGTATGGGAAGGTAGCGGGATTACTGATGAATGAAGAAAAAACTAAAATCCTAGCGAAGAATATGACTCAGATGCAAAGGCAACAGCTGGAGCAGTTAATGGGTTTAAGAATAACAAATAAAATTAAGTATCTGGGTATATGGCTGACTGCCAGAGGCTCCTCCATAAAGAAGGATAACTATCTTCCTCTTTACAACCAGATGCTCAGAGATCTAGAAAGATGGAAAAATCTCCAGCTATCAATTTTGGGAAGGGTGCAACCATTAAGATGTGCATGTTACCCAAATGGTTATTTCTATTCCAAACAGCCCCAGTAAGGTTGAATAAAGAGTTTTTTACAAATTTGGATAGGAGTATATCCAAGTTTATCTGGCAGGGAAAGAGGCCGCAGATTAGAC